CACACACACACACACACACACACACACACACACACACACACAATCTGCACTCCTAGAACAGTTGGGTTCACATTTCAGAGTTTAGGCTGAAACTCATAGCCCTATTCCCAGCATTGACAATTTCTGAAACTCGAGTGTACTTCCAAAATTAGATTTATATTACCTATGAACAGAAAAAACATGGTAATATTGCTTAATTCTATTTATTGGATAAGAGCATAGGATTATTAGTCTTGTGGATCTTGTCTCTTTGAAACATTTCAACTCAGATTCTTTAAACATAGAAAAAGTATCCCTCCTGCAGCTTTGGGAGATAATATCCTAATGTCCTGAGACTTTTTAAAAGAGTTTTATGGGGAATTCAGAGTTAAGATTTTTCACCAAAGACTTTTCACTTTTAAGGTTATACTCCAGAATTTTAGCAAGTAGCATTATAATAAACAGCAGACACAAAACCTCAATTTTTACTAAATAGAAAAAAGGCAGATGAGGTCAATCTGTCTTAATAAATATGGTCTGAAAAGTGAGGGATGTCTTTCTCTACATCCATAGTTCACAATGGAGGAGGACTTCACTATCTGCCCCAAAAACATTAGCAATATTTGGAGACACTTTGAGTTGTCACAACTGAAGGGGAAAGAGGTGAGAGGTGTTACTGGTATCTAATGGGTAGAAATCAGGTATGCTATCATATCCTGCACAGGACAGCCCTCTTCCCACTGAAGAATGACCCAGCCCAAATTTCTGTAGTGCCAAGATGGAGAAACCCCATTCTATTTCTTATAGGTCATAATAGGCATCTACCCTTATGTGGCAGGGATAGTGCTGGAAATTGAACCAGGAACACTTTACCACTGAGTTACACCCCCAACCCTTTCTATTTTTTTATTTTTTCTTATTTTGAGACAGGGTTTTGCTAAAATTCTGAAGCTGATCTCCTGCTGCCTCAGCCTCCAGAGTTGCTGGGATAATAGGCGTGTGCCACCACATACTGCATGTACCATTTCTATACAAATAAAACTAACTCTGTCCCCTTGGGGCTTAAAGACCAGTACAAGAAAATGAATTTTGAAAATGAAATTCCAAACACATATTTTGAAGGGGTGGATTCTATCAGGGAGGACAGAAAGACTTCACTGGAGAGAAGTCGATCACAAAATCCTACAAATAAAAAAATAAAGAATTAATGAGATTTTTCTTAATCAGATCCTGAACAGTTGAAAGAAAAATTTAAGATTTATGGTTTATTTCACAATACCAAATTGAATTTTTCTCCTTCTCAGCAGTTCACTGTGAATGTTTTTTAGAAGCATGAAGATGTGAATTTGGAGCTCCACTGGGGTATTTAGTACTTTTAGACTCCCGATCAAGTTATTTAACTTCTCTGGACCTCAATCTCCTTATCTATAAAAAGAGCACAATAATTGGAGTTTCCAGCTCATAAGGTCCTTCTCCAGACTAAATGAGATCATGAGGGTAAAGTATTGGCATAGGTTAGGTGCTCGCTGAAAATACCTTCTTTCCTCCTCACTGAACAGAGAGTAAACTGAAACACACAACGGCATCTCTGGGATTGCCTGCAAGCTCTTGAAGAATAGAGCAGAAGTCGCCTGATTTTCAAACTGTATTTGTTTTCACCTGGCTGCCGATTTCTTCCTTGACCTTTCCCACCCCATTTCTCCCCTAGTTTCTGAAACCACCCAACAGTGATGTGCTGTGCATCCTTGGGGCCGGTGTCCAGGCCTATAGCCATTATGAGATCTTCACAGAGCAATTCTCCTTTAAGGAGGTGAGTTCAGGGTGAGGGGTGGGGAGGGAGTGGCCAGTGACCTCTGTCTGTATTCCTTCACTGCATGCTACATGAGCGCTTTACCACTGAGCCACAACCCCAGCCCCTGATAGCAACCTCTTGTCAGTTTCTCAGTTCACAGGGATGCAGCACGCCTGATCAGTTAAAGAACTATAACTCTTGCATATAGATGGTCCTCTCAGCCCTCTCTGTGCTGTTTTTTACTCCTAAAAATCTAGGAGTTTTCAAATATCCAGGTCTATGGATCCAGGAACCAGGGATGAGGCTTAGCAAGCAGGAGGCCACAGCATCCCCCTCCTGCAGTCTGTATATTGGCCCACCTTTCCCCTGTGATGACTCATGCTTCCTACTGAGAATGTTTGATGCTTTTTAAAATATTTTTATTAGAGAACTATAATTATACATAGTATTTGGATTCATTTTGACAAAATCATGCATGTAAGGAATTTGATGTCAATCCCTACCCCCACTTCCCTTCCCATCCTCCTCTCCCCTGTTCTCCCTCATCTACTTTACTAAACTTCCTTTTACACACACAAACACATATATATGAAATCACCTTTGGTACCTTTATAGGTGCATATACCATGATACTATTTTTGTTTTATTTTATGTGTGTGTATGAGAGAGGTGGAACAGATTTAAAGTATGAATGTTTAAAATTTTTAATGAATTTTCTTCCCAAAGAAGAGGTATTATTTAAGATAGGAAATTGACCTTTCATCTGTTTTCAAAGACAAGAGGTTAATGTTTTTTAAAATTCTTTCATTAGCTTTTTATAGTTTTAATCATGTCAGGCATTCAGTTTATCCTTTTTGTTGAATGCTCTAATATCACTTTTCCAAATTATCTAATTATTCCCTGATATTTGTGATGTTCCCTGGTCAAGAGGGGTAACATGGCTAGCTGTTCGCTTTTGACTATGCATAATGCATTGTTTTTCACCTTGGCTGATGAACTTTCTTTAAGTTTATGTCTGTATTTACTATATTTCCTTGTGAGACATTCTTTAGGCCTTATTTTCAATTGAAGATTCACAACCCCAGACCCAAATGTTGAAACCTGTTAACAAGCCAGCAAGTCCCTAGTTATGTCAGTGATATCCCTTAACACCACCTCAGCACCTTCCAGGAACCTGATTCCAGCTCACACTCTTGGACTTTTCATCAGCTTCTCCATTCACCTTCAACCCTTTGGGTCTTTGATCACCGCATACCTTGCAGAGATCAAGTTATTCCATGCAAAAGCACTGCCGGATACTTTTTATGAATATCACACCCATTATGATTCCTTTACAGGTCTCAGGCATAAAGTGTGAGTTCTACACTGACTTTGCCTAGTTATCATCTCCATTTTATAGACATGAAAATTAAGGCTGAATGAGGTAGAGTCATTTCAGGAGCAGTAAGGGACAAAGCAAGGATTGATTCCAATTCTGCCTGGCTCCAGAACTCGCTCTGCTAATCAGTAAATGGTATAGTAGCTATTAAGCGACTGAGGCTGTGTGTCCTTGCCTACAGCTAGAGAATTTCTATCCTTTTTATAGAGGAAATTTGTAGATAAAACATGTCCTTGATCAAATGTCCATTCTCCATAGGGAATGATTTAGATTCCCTATGGAATCTATCATAGTCCTAAACTAGAGAGGTTAAATTTCCCTTTGGCACCTCTGGACCCGGTGTAACATAAGTAGACAAAAAAAATGACACCAGTGTCCCTCTTGTTACCCCGAATGAAGGTAAGGATATGGAACCGCACCAAAGAAAATGCAGAGAAGTTTGCAAACACAGTGCAAGGAGAGGTCCGGGTCTGTTCATCGGTGCAAGAGGCTGTGACAGGTGCTGATGTGATCATCACAGTCACCATGGCAACAGAACCCATTCTGTTTGGTGAATGGGTGAAGACTGGGGCTCACATCAATGGTAAGCAGAGGGGCTCCATGAGCCACGGGTAGGGTTTGGCCAAGACTCCTCCTTAGACTGGACCGCAGGGCTGGTTTCCTCATTGTGCAGAATGCCCAAGCTTTATGAGGACCTCAGAAACATGGGAGCCTTTGGAGATCTTATATCTCAAAGTATGAAAAGGAACCTAGACATGGTGGTGCATATCTGTAATCCCAGAAACTCAGGAGTCTGAGGCAAAGGGACCACATAGTTTGAGGCTAATCTGGTCAATTTAGTGAAATCCTGTCTGAAATTTAAAAATAAATAAATAAATAAAGTTTCAAAGGGCTGGGTATGTAGCTCAGTGGTAGAGCCACCCTGGGTTCAATCCCCAGTACTGAAAGGGGGGGGAGAGTCAAAATGAAAT